CTCCAGAGCTAAGAAGAGGTAGAAAGAAACACGCAGCTTCTATCCACACAAGAGCCACAGACTTTGTAACCCCGGGATTCATGGAGCAGAGGAAAGAGGACAGGAGCTCAAGGATAACCTAGAATCCCACGTCACCCTGCCTTTCCAGCCTAACGTCCAAAAAACCCTGCTGCCCATCCACTGCTAATGGCTTCCGGCTCCCTCTGCTACTCTCCTCAAAATCTGTTTAAAAGCTTCCCAAAGCAGGCTCTTCTGTCTGCTCTGACCTGGTTCTTCCTGGGTCTTCCTTTCTGAGGTCTCACACCCCTGCTCGTTCTCAACATCCAGGTGAGAAAGACAAATGTCCCCCAATTTTGAGTTCAGAGTCTAGTACTGCCTGTAGTGTGTGTAGCAGGTATCCAGTTGTGCTATGTTTACTGAACTGTAGCTTTAGTTCATTTCAAAAGGCTTTAGTGAGTTTTTCAGCGCTGCCTAAGACGTTGAGAAAGTCAGTATCCACTTCAGCACCCCATTAATATAAGAGAGAACGGAGGAAGCTTTACCATGGCTAAGGCTATATTAAAAGAAGTGACCACGTCCATTTTGGATCTAAGCTTTTAACTCCTGAATCCCTGTTCTTCCCATTCTGTTAAACCTCAGGCTGGAGAGTCAGTTCCCTATAGTCCACACATCTGAATACTGCCCAGGGTCTATGCCCAATGTGCCACTGCTCTGAACCATTTGGCACATGGCAAAGAAGGCTCTGGTGAATTTACTGTGCCACAAAGTCCCTGTGCATCCTGCTCCGGTGCATCCCACTCTGGTGTTTCTTTCTTTTCAAGGGGGTCTGCTTTGCCTCCTGGGCAGTCAGAAACCTGAGAAAATCCTCAAGAGGAATTTGATCATTCTCTACTGGAGGACTTAACAAGTCATTTGGCCTGCCTAATCTGCTCGGACACCGTCTGGGGAATATTTGATATCCATGTAGTACAGGGTGTAAATTAATCTGTGGGGACTGTTCACAAGACCCTCACAACCCTGTCTCAGCTGGTCATCAGTAAGGTTTGGCGACAGACCCCCTCTCTTGAAGACTCATTGAAACTGAAAAGATCAGGCTTTTTCTCCTGGGGGGGGGGTGTTGAAACGGGTATGTTTAAACAGAGGGGAAAATCCTCCTGCCTTCTAGCCTCACCCACAGAGCAGAGCTGGCCCCCTGCCTCTGCAGAGTTCAGGCTGTGAATAGAACCCAGTTAGTTAGACTCATTTGTACCATGTTTTCAGAACCCTGGCAACCAAGTGCTTAACAGAGAGATGAACTCTCTGTGTGGATCAGCGCGAGGAAAAGATGAAAAGTGAGATCTGAAGGGACCTAAGAGATCCTCTACCCTCTGAGGAAACCCGACCAGCAAGATGGCGCAGCAGGTAAAGGAGCCGGCTGACAAACCCGAAGACCTGTGTTGGATCCCAAGACCCACAGGATGGAAAGTTGTCCTCTGACTGTCACAGTCCACCAGGGCACCAAGGCACCTCTGTGATCCCCCTCCACCATGAAAATGAAAATAATGAATATTCAAATAAATAAGCAAATAGAGGGGGCTACAGAATTGAGGTTGTTACTAATCACGGCTACACAGTAGATGATGGCTAAAGATCAGACACCAAGACGCCCTAGTCTAAACTCAACACCCCCACCCCACCCCCCGCGGGTGCGGCGCGCAACTCCCACCGGGGGAAAAAAAAAAACCAGACCTCTACACATTAACACACTCCCTCTACCCTTCCCAAAACACCACACACGCGCATAACTCAGTCAGCTGGGCCCTAAGGCCCTAAAGTATTTTATTACCAACACCATTTTGGTGAAAAGACTCAAGAGACCTCAGGAATTATCCTCACACTTTCCTCCAGCTCCATTTCTCTGCTCTGGTTGAACTTTCCAGAACGTAAGAGCCCTGGTCTACACCTGGTAGGCCGCGAGCTGCCAGAAGAGCGCAGCTGGGTACTGAGAGCTCCCAGGTCCAGATGCGGGGTTCAGAGACTGTGACAGGCGGCCCCCAGGCTTTAGGCTGGGCACCCCCAGAATCTAGATGCCAAGTGAGACCAGTGCACACGCACCGCCTGCCCTGTTCCCAGGATCCCGGGTGGGAACCCGGGCGGGCTCTCCTGGGGATCCTGATGGCCAGGCAGTGGCTCTGGGAGGTGGCTAGAGACTCGTTCAGCGGCGGGCTCCGCTCCAGCGAGATCCGGGCGCTCTTTCCCAGGCGCACAGGTTTAGAAATAGGACGGCCTTGCCTGGCCACCGCCTCGGAGGCTCGGGTCCCCATATATAGTCATATCCACCGTCAACTGGGAGGCCGGCAGGAGGCAGCGAATGGGCGTGCGGGCCCCGCGGGAGGAGCGAGGAGGGGGCACGGGGCGGAGGCAGGAGACTGGGAAAGGGGGCAGGAGGAACAAGCTTTTCCAAAAAAGTATTGGCTGTCCTGAGGAATGCGGTCGCCCCCCTGGGAAAGTACATATCAGAGAGCAGCAGGCAGCTCCGCGCTCGCACTCCGTCTCAGCCACCCCACCGCGCTCGTGTCTTTGCTCCCGACGCTGCCTAAGGGCCCCTCGCCACTGCCACCATGGACGCCATCAAGAAGAAGATGCAGATGCTGAAGCTCGACAAAGAGAACGCCTTGGATCGAGCCGAGCAGGCGGAGGCTGACAAGAAGGCGGCAGAAGATCGGAGCAAGCAGGTCTGCGTCTACCCCGCCCCCCACCGCCCCGACTCAGTCCCCGGGACCCCAGCAGGCATCCTTTCCCCATCCCATCCCAAGCCCAGGGTGTCCAGGGGCGCGCATCTTTAAAAGAATATAGGAAGAAAGAAAGAAAGAAAGGAAGGAAGGAAGGAAGGAAGGAAGGAAGGAAGGAAGGAAGGAAGAAAGAAAGAAAGAAAGAAAGAAAGGAGTTAGTTTGATTGGCTGATTCTAACTTTTCTGTCTTGTCCGCCGAAGAGGCTGGTGGCTGGTGACCCTTCCAGAGTCCCTGAGGTCCATAAACTCCCTAGAGAAGCTCTTGACCCTCGGGATTGGGAACCAGTTTTGAAATGGGAAGGGAGAAAGGATACCAATTCCCGATGTGACTGGAGGGAAGGGTGGGGGAGTCCGGCAAGGCTCAAGTCCTAAAGTGTCCGAAGTTCTTTGAACTTTTTGGTTGGGGAGAAAGAGCCCCTAAACATGAGATGGAGGCTTTGGAGCGAAGAGGGGGACTCACTTAACTATTTTCTAAGAACAAAGATGGACAGGATAGAAGACACAAATGGAAAGCTAACCAAACAGGGGCGTGTTTCTGTAACCCTTCAAGTCGGGGACCTGAGTTCTCTAAGTTCTCCACCCGAGTGTGGTCCGGGGGGGGTGGGGGTGGGGGTGCGGGATGAGTCACTGAGCGGCTCCAGCTCTGGGAGAGAGATTACCAAGGGTCCCTTAAGCCCCAAAGCAGCGATCCCTTAGCCCCAGGGCCCCAGCCAACCTGGCACCCGTTTGTTGTATGTCTCACACCCGGTCCATGCCGGCCGCCCGCGCCCGCTTGCCGCTGCCCCCAGCTCGAGGAGGACATCGCAGCGAAAGAGAAGCTGCTGCGGGCGTCGGAGGACGAGCGGGACCGGGTGCTAGAGGAGCTGCACAAGGCGGAGGACAGCCTCCTGGCTGCAGACGAGACCGCCGCCAAGGTACCCGGGCGCGCGGTGTGGCACGGCGCACGAATGGCTAACTTTCTCTTTCTCTCTCCCTCCCTGTCTTTCCCTGTCTCTCTCTCTCTCTCCCGCTGTCCCTGTCCTTTACGGTCTGTGCACCCTCACCCCGCACCTTGCGGGATCACGCTGCCTGCCGCACCCCACACCCTCCCCCCTCCCTCCGTACTCCACCGCCAACTCCCAGCTGGAAGATGAGCTGGTGTCACTGCAAAAGAAACTCAAGGGCACTGAAGATGAACTGGACAAATACTCTGAGGCTCTCAAAGATGCCCAGGAGAAGCTGGAGCTGGCGGAGAAAAAGGCCACAGATGTAAGTGCACGCTCGCACTGCCTCCCTCACCTCCTGTTCGCGTGACCATTCTGGGGGTCACCACAGGGTCTGCAGAGCAAAGGAAGGGGGTAAACCTCCTCCTGCCGGGACACCTGCACACAGCCTGGCTGTGGCCCAGAGCACTGGATGCTGCCTCTGACTGCCGCTGCGCACATTCGTTTATATTCCATGCATTTCTTTTTCTCTTTTTCCTCTTCTTTACCTCCTCCCCTTTGGTCGGAGGTGGGTGGGTGAGAAGCTGGGAGAACACAGCCTCCGAATTGGGGACTTGTGGAGGGGAACTTCGCCTCCTGCTGGTATAAAACCTCTGAAGTGTGTGTCATCACCAAGGTTTGTGCAAGACAGAGTTTTCTTGTTTGCCACCCTCAGTGGCCTCCATTGATGAGCCTAGTCTGGACACAGAGAGCCTGGTCTTAAAATGTACTCACACTCTTACTTCAAAGGCTAATCTTGCAGACTACAGGGGACACTTTGAGGCGCTCTTTCTCACTAGGTAAACCTTAAGACCTGCCCAGGGAAGATGATACTCGCTTGGGTCCGCAGTCTGAGGCACTAGATCCAGAAAGTACGCAGGGAGTTATATATAGCTCAGTGCTTTATAAGGCGTAGAGAGCTGGCTGCCCCCCGCCCGCCCCACCCCCACCTGTCAGCCCTCTGACAACCGCTGCATACTCCAGGGCGTGAAAGACACAGCTCCAGCTCCGCTAAGCATCCTCTCCGCTGCCCTTTGGAATCTAGAAAGTCAAGCAGAGGGTCAGCTTTCCAATGGACTGACTGACTTCTTTTCACCCCCACATTCCCCTGGAGAAGGCAGTTAAGCCTAGAGGCCCAATTAGAAAAGAATTCCTTGGGAAGCTGATAACAATTCCAAGAATGTGTGAGTAGCAGACAAAGCTACACCCGAAAGTTGAACCCCCAAGTTTGACAGCAGTCTGTACGTTTTTGGTTTTGTGTTTTGGGATAATGTGTAATGCAGATTATCCAAGGGTTTTGAAACTGGCAAGGCCTTTTGAATCACGAAAGACTTGAGATTTATCTAGTGTTCTTAGTAACTGAGTAGTCTAGACAGCCAACAACTGGGATCGGACAAAAAGAAAACCTTGAGTGACAGCTAAGTTCCCTGGAAAGGAGGCTTGGGGAAGCACAGTTGAGTGAAAACTCATGCTAAAACCTACCTGACTTTAGAAAAAGAACAACAATAACAAAAAAAAAAAAAACAGCCTTCATCTCTCTGAGCCAGTTTGTATAACGTGGATCAGACGTCTGCTTTGTCCGTGCTAAATGGAGGATGCCCAACTCCCCCAAATCCTCCTGCAGGACATTTATTTAGGTTTTTCAAAAGAGCCGCTGACCTAGGAGATCTAGGAGAGATATTCCTTATAAGGAAAGGAATTCAGAGAATTTGCAAATAGCCCAGTGTGAAAGAAAGCAGGAGGGAAAAAAAGTTACTATAATTCTTGGGGGGGGGGGAATAATAATTGTAACTATGGAGTGGTAATCTTGTCTTCAGGGAGAAATCGTGGAGGGGGGTACTGGAATGGGGTGGGGCAGAAGCAGAAAAGAGGCTATTTAAAGCCAGCTGTGGGGCGGGGCCAGGAGAAGAGGGAGGTTCTTAACACCAGTTTTGGTTCTCTCTATGTGCTGGAAAACTGTCTCTAAATATGGTGAGAGTGTGCACTTCTCTGTTTCTTTTGGTTAGTGTATTTCTCATCTACCTCTGTAAAACACCGTTGGCTCTTTGGAGACTAGGAATGTTGAAGGGAGTTTGTGACGTTATATTTAGAACGATCTTGACTCACTTAAAATAGCTAAGACTTGAAGAGGAAAAGACAGGTGTCGCTAGAGGGAAGAGGTGGAAGTGAAGTCATCCTTCTGAAGAATTGCAGTGAGGACGTTTTACTCTCTAGTGCTAAAAAAAAGTACATTTTTGATTATTATTACTAAAATCATTTTTCGATCTTACCAAGCTACTTTACAAGCTATAGTCTTCCAGAAACGGGTTTTTCCCAGTTTAAAAGGCTGCCACTCAGGAGCTAGCATCCCTTGCAATCTGTTTTGGATTTTTACTGGTTTTCCCCCCTACAGGAGGCTGAGTCCTGTTAAGACTCAGTTATCTTGACTCCTTTCCCCCAGTAACTGATGGAGCTGATATTTGCAGGATATGAGTCTTTATCCCTCTAGGTCTCCTTCCTAATGTAGTGACTCAGGCTTAACTAAACTCAGGTTTTCCCCTGGGATCTCTTGGGATGGGACCCAGCCACAGTATTTCTTAAATAACCAAAGGATTCCATCCCATAGCTAAACCTAACAACTAACCGCCCATAGCTCTTCAGTAGTGACATCAGCTTGAAAATAAACTTCTGAAACTGACTTCCTAGTGCTTGAAAGGCAAGACATTAAATCACTAGGGTAGCTGCTTACTGCACTGGCAAGTGGCCAGCATTTACCCTGGCTGCCTTTGGAGGGTGCAGATGCCCTGTCTGGGTATCCTCAAGGTTGGAGGCAGATGGTCTGAGAGCTTTGGGGAGGAGCTATACCCACGGCTGCTCAGCAAAACAACAGCTTGGAAACCAAGCAAGAGTCTCCACCTACAGGACTTGATTGAGGGCCCTAGCTGGAGTTTGTAGGCTTGCTTTGTGCAGCAGAGACCGGAGGGGACTAGGAATTCCAGAGGTGTTCTGGTTTTGGAAGACAGCCTTTGGCAGGAGTGTTTTCTTTTTCTACCTTTGTTTATATCACACACACATACACACACACACACACACACGCAGGCATGCATGCACGCACACACACACACACACACACACACACACACACATGCAAACACGCACACACTTAAACAAGTCCAGGACTGACTTTAACAGCTCTCTTTGACCAAGATGCAGGAGGATATAAAGCCCAGAGACTTGACAGGCTTTTAAAAACACAGCACAGGAGGGAATGGCCGAGATGGCTTCTTACAGATTGTGTCTGTGTGACTTTGCAGCTGGTAACCAGAGGCACTGTCACAGGTTTCTGTAGTCTTGTACCTGGGGTTCATTGGATTCCAGGTATTAGACTGAATTAAAACCAGGAAAGGTTAGGATGCCTGCCTTGTCTGAGATTGCACAACTGGATAGGGGCCCAGCCAGACTCTAAAGGTAGTACCTGTGATTGTTTAATTATATCGTTTGAGTCTTAACTGTATGTAAGGCATTGTTCAGCGTTTTATAGTAGCTGATAATTCTCAACAGCCCCGCGAAAAGCCCTGTGCTATTATATTCGTTTTTAAGAGATGAAACACTGAGAATTCATTTGTCCAAAGCTACACAACCAGCAGAGACCTAAGAGCCAGATTCAAATCTAGAAATGCTGTATTTAGAACAGTCTAACCACTCCGCATTGTCAGATAGGAATTTACACTTGGCGAGATAACTCAAGTGTTGGGGTTCTTGTTGTAAGGAGTTTGTGTTCTGGGATTCTTTACAAGAACTGGTTCCCCTAAAATTCATACCATAGGCTCCAAGTTCCTTATTGGGATTCTGGGAAGTCGGGATTACAGAGCGCTCCGGACTGCCAACAGGAGTCGCCATGGCCTTTAGCATTCGGAATCATGGCGCTCTTTATGACCAGAACAGTTCCTTTAGGGAGCATTCAGGTTTTGGAAGGCTCCGAACCCTGTCTCAGCTTCAGAGTAATCGGGATTCCGGAGCGCTTCAAGCGGCCAGCAGGAGTCGCCATAGGCTTTAGCATCCAGGTTCTCT